ATCAGCTTTTAATGGCCAGAACCAGGGAGCTCGCATTTTGGCTACCTGATCTCTGAGGGGCAGTTATGATGCTGTTGTGACATTTCAAAGGGATTGATGACATCCCACTTGAGCAAAGATTCAAAAATTAGATTGAAGTAATGTTTTGGGGATGTGGGTTTTCATCTAATGGCCTTGAATGGAGAGAAAAAAAAAACATTTTTAATAGGCTTCTAGTGGAGAGGAAACACAGATATTTACATGGTTGCCCACACGACTCAAATACTGTCTCTCAGTGTGAATTTGTGTTCCTCAAAAGCACACAATTGCAAGCATACAAAAATGAGAGCTTGTGCCTGTGTTTGTTCTACCAGAACCTTATTTTATTTTCATACTTTGACATGCCCGTTGGTGACCTCCATCATGGCAGGTACAATCCAGACACAGACAGCTGGAGCACAGATGTAGCACCCTTGAGCAGCCCCCGCAGCGGAGTGTGTCTGGTGGCGATGGACGGATACCTGTACGCTATTGGAGGACACGACGGCATTGCTGCCATAAATACTGTGGAGAGGTACTGCAGCACGAGTGGTACAGAAGATCAATATCTTACAAAATGAACTGTGAATCCTCTTAATAAATATTGTAAACAAATAAGACCATGTTCGAGGCATCTCATCGACATTAAGTGGCTCTGCTGTTTATTATTTCCTGGGGAAGTTTTATAGGGGCATAAAATCCTCTTTGGCTTTTCAGAAAATAATGATGTTTAACGCATATTTTAGCTACCACCATTTGGTACAGCAGCAAAGCTTTAGCTAAGTTCTGTTCAAAGAAACATAGACATGCCTCTTTTTAAAAATTAACATTAAATGAAAGTGGAATGAGTAGGCTGTGCCTTATCACACAGAATGAAAGTACTAATGATCTTACTTACCTGACATCTCACATTACTTTGAAAGGAAAATCTGAAGAGTCTGACTCAGAGAAAGGAACAGAGAAATGATAAACTGAATTATGCAAAAACATCAGTGATTGACAGACCATTTGTTAAATTGGTCTTGCTTACCTTTGTTTCTTCGTTCTAGGTATGATCCAAATATGAACATGTGGAGCAAGCAGGCACCGATGCTGACCAGACGCACCAGAGCAGTGGCTGCTGTGCTGGAGGGTCACTTGTATGTGATCGGAGGGAATGATGGTGATATGGCTCTGAGCTCAGGTGAGGCCGTCTTTGACATCAAACCTCAGTCACTCACATATTTCAGCCAATGTTTCCTGGAAGGCTGTGACTAAAGATTATTTTTATTATCAATTAATCTGTCAATTTAATTTTAACTCTACTAATGTAAGAATAAAAATAAAAGTTTCCAGAGCCCAATTTAAGGCCTCAATTTGATTGTTTTGTTTGACTGACAGCAAATAACCAAAGGTTATTCGAAACATACTTTGTGCTTGGAGGCATTTTGTGAATTGACTTGTTCCCACCACTATTAAAAAAAAAAAAAAAAAGTTTGACAGCTTTTTGACGTGTGGCAGGACTTCAGCCACACATAACGACTAGCTTGACCTTTCATTTTCAGCAAGTAGCCCATATTCACACAACCACACACACACACACACACACACACACACACACACACACACACACACACACACACACAAAATTCTTAAGCCCCCTGACCTTGCCAAAGATAAACAAGGGTTATGTTGTGCTGCCACTTGTCACAGTCTATTTCAGTCTGTGAGAAGTGCACGTCAGTAAAATTCCCACAACTTATTTTGGTTCCCATCAAGTTCAGGGTCCTTTCTTTTAGAAAAAAGGTTGAAAATTAAATTATTTTTTAATAAATTATTTAAAAATAAAAAATGAAATCTTTAAAATATATTACATCTAATACATATATTATATTTATATAAAAATATATATATAATAAAATATATAGTACATCTAAAATTGCAATAGATCAATATAACCTATAGACATTTTTGTATATAAATATAGATATAAACATAACACTGCCACTAAACACTGCCTGTGTGTACTTGTACAGTGTGTGTGTGTGTGTGTGTGTGTGTGTGTGTGTGTGTGTGTGTGTGTGTGTGTGTGTGTGTGCATTATATGGTATATACAGCCTCTCCTGACTTCTGTTATCTTCTAACTGTCCCCCAGTGGAGCGATACAACCCTGTAGATGGTACTTGGTCGATATGCGCCCACATGCTGAGTCCCAGAGAGAATGCCGGCTGTGCTGTGTACCTAGGACACATCTATGTGGCTGGGGGCAAAGATGAGTTAAACCTGGAGCTCTGTGCTGCTGAGAGATTTAACCCAGTTACCATGAAGTGGACTCCTGTCAAACGCATGAGAAGCAAGAGGGACAACGTGAGTAATGGATCACCATGACACATCAGATGTTAGGCCTCCCCGCTGATTTAAGGTCCAGTTTATTTTTATGTCCAAATGCTAAGAAAAGAAAAGATGGAGAGAAGTAATACGACTGGCATGACTGAAGGTAGGACATATAATGTTTCTTATCAGATTACCCAAAATATTCAGTATAGGTTAAGGGTCTAAGTACTATTTTTGGATCCCTAGTCTAAATGTTTTTTTTTGCTTTTCACTTATTTCTCTTCACAAGAATATAATAGTGGAGGAAACACTGCTTGTAACTTCCTTTTTTTTAGATGAGGAAAGTTATTTATAGGTTTTTATATATATAGTTATAGGTATTCGGTCATAAATCCATTATTGTGGGGGTGGTCCTAGACCATTTGGTGCCCTAGGCGAGCTTTACGGATAGCGCCCCATCCCCATGAGAAAAGAACTCATGTCCAAAGAATTGCACATTTATTTAAACAATGATACTTATCTCTGTTCATCAGTATGTAACATCTGCTCATCTTTTGCACCTCTGTCTATAAAGTCCACATGTTGATATCCTCATCTGCATATGAGCCACTGACTCACTCAGCACTTTACTAGTTTGCACTCTGGTTCGATGTAAAACTGTATTTCAAGGTGCTTGAACTTGACAGTAAAGTTAAAACTAATCCAAAACTGAATCTAATCTAATTTTGCTATATGGACAGTAATAATAGACTTTTCACATCCACTCAATCTTTAATTTCGTAGCACACAATGAGATGCAAAGTGCTATATACTGTAGCTAGCATCACACAGCCGACTGACCAACTGCGCATCAGTGTGCGCGCTACCATGTTGTGACCGTGACGTGTAACAGCTAAAGGTCCCGTCAGAATTGTCATTTCTTTTACTTAAGTTTAATTCATTTTTTTATGTCAAAGTATTGTTGTAGATAGAGGGATGGCAAAAACTGTTGAAAAAATAAATAGACATTATAATTTTAATTATAATTTTTTTCTCGCCGCATATTTGGCGCCCTTCACTAGGTGGCGCCCTAGGCAAGCGCCTATGTCGCCTATAGGAAGGACCGCCACTGCATTATTGGACCATTCAATTATTGAACCATTCAAATTTCATTTCAATCCGTCCTACAGTTATCGAGACATTTCACTCCAACCTAGTGGTGGTGCTAGAGAACAGGTCAGGGGATAAGCAAAATCATGGTCTAGCCACCATGAATGTACTAAATCCATCTAGATTTTTCAGAGATGAATTGAAAACTTTGAGCTGCTGGTGGCATTATATTCAAAGTCAGGGGATCAAAATCATGAGGATTTGTCCTCTGGGTACCATCAATATCTGTACAACGTTTTATTTCAAACCGTCCAGTAGTTGTTGAGATCTTTCACTTTGGACCAAAATGGCGGACGATGGATGATAATGTAATTTGTGCATTGATACTAAAACTATTAAATTTATGTTACAAAAGTATATCATGGTGCAGCGTTGTTTTACTCTAAGGAAACCTCCCCGGGCGGGTTTGCCAGATTGGAAAAACACTCAAGAGACATGTCAGATCTAGTTCATTTAAACTAATTTGTTGATGTAATTTTATTTTATGTAATTTTCTCATATCCACTCTTGTTTATTGTGCCTCAGATGTCCCTTGTAGTGTTCAATGGTGCCTTGCTGGCTGTGGGAGGCTCTGATGGTGTCACCAATCTGAAAACAATAGAAGTTTACTGTCATAACACCAACACGTGGAGGTAAGAGGAAAACCAATGTTGTGACATCCTTGATGCTGTTAAGTGCTCATTGCTGTGGCTTTTAAAAAAAACTGGGCTTCCCAGAGGTTACTCATCATTCAAATAATTCCCAAAGCTCTAACATGTTTTTCCCCCACTCCCTGTTGATGTGATTTGCAGGAAACATAAAAGTCGTAATGTCTCTATGCTTTAAGAAACAGGCTATAAATTGAATCACCATTGTGCCATATCAATTATCAGTACTAGAAATTACATGGAAACAGTTGGTAGTTTAAATAGTGACACAACATGGTGCAGTGATAACCAAGACAAGCATACACTACATTGTATTCTCTTAAGGATAATACAATATATAACATAAGTAATTGTATATAACAGTGTGTGCAGCGCGGTGCAGACACTGTAAAAGGGAAAAAATGTCTCCCATGACTTTGGTCAAATTTCTAAAAAGTGATAGATGAATAAGAAAAAAGAGAATAGCCTTATCACCCAAAGTAATTACTTCCACTCATTGAAATTCAAATGTGCTCATTAAAATTTAAATGTATCATTACATTAATTAATGTTACAGATTGCTATCTGTCCATTATGATACAGTTGTCAAATTAATTCCAAGTTTTGAACAAAAATACTTTACATCTAGAAAGTCTGCCGCTTAAATCCAGACAAATACATAGAGTCACTTTGTGATTCATAGGCTTCTATATATTATATATGCCTCCAGGCTGCTTACTGAATCTGAGTGCTCCACTGTCTGAGTCTTTCCCTCTCCATCTGTTTTTAGACACTTTGGAAGCATGAAGTGCAAGCATCCAGGAGGGAGAGTGGCTGTGTTGTGCTGAGACTCGACAGCGCTCGCATTATATGAACAGGACAGAGGTGTTAGAGAGAACTAGCCTAATGGATGTACGTCAGCCTCCAGGACGCATTGTGATGTGGTTCAAGTAAGGCAGCATAATGACTGAATAATTGAAGAGTTCACTCCAAAATGAGACATTGCTGCATTAGTCAAAGCTGGCAACTGCTGTTATAAAATGACTGTGAGCATTAAATTAAAGCACATTATAGGCTACTGGGTTACCATTAGAGTTATGGGTCTTTTTATGTCTTACAAAACAGACCGATTTTATAGAGATGACTCAGCGGCAAATATATTTCAGATTGTATTTTTCCCCCAAAAGAGATGTACTGGATTTTGATACAATCTTAATACAATATGTTGAACAATGCTGATACGGCAACGGATTAGAAGAATTGGGACATATCTGCAATAAACAGATATTGGCTGATATATCCGCTCTAACCATAATATATTAGACAAAACCATTACAATGTCAAACATGATAAAGTGATCTAGTGTTAAAATAGTTCAAAAATCCCACTTGGAAATATTGTGATTATTGTACTGATTAATTATTGATGTGGAGTAACAGGTATGAGGCAAAAAGATGGAGGTAAACATGGAAATAATGCAGGTGTTGGGTTAAAGAGTGTGCAGGATTAGTAGGTGAATCTTTCTTTTTCTAAGTCAATCTTTTGTCACTTACTATTTTAAGATGAGAGTAATAACTTTAACCTTGACGTATTGTAAGGATGCTTTGAAGGGAAGAAACTCAGGTGGCTGTTGGAAGTGGAGAGAGTGTACTGAATGTTCACAGTAACATAGTAATATGGCTGGTAAAATAGCATAATGACATAGAGAAATAATGTGTTATATGTTCTGAGCCTTTCTGAAAGTCTTTAAATAGTTTTCTTTGAAATGTTAATCATACTAATCATAATCAAATGTTCATCATACGTATGTGTTTCTCATCATCAACGTCTGTGATCATGTTGTAAATGACTCATCGTTTTTGACTGTAAACACTGATTCGTCATATTTCAGAAATTGTTGTTCAAAATCCCCCTCCCCCCCCCCCAAAAAAAGAATAAAAATCGGTTGGATCAAGTTAGGGAAAAGAAATCTGTGGGAATCAAGATCCTGAGATAAGCGAGAGATTGAGTTCTGACTGCTGGCATGGGAAAGCATAAGAGGCTGTGTGGGCTTTAAAATGATGACGCTCAGAGCTCTTCCCCCTGGAGAATAATGGTCTGAAATGTGGAGAGGCTGAGCACACAGGAACGCACACAGAGCAACACGTCTTTTCCGGAGACACAAGCCAGCGGTGTCTCCCTGCCGTCCCTCTGTGCACACAGAATGAATATTTTTTTCAATTTGAGGGGGACCATGGTGAGGCAAATAGCAGAGGACAGACCTGTACCAGGTATGTTTTAACAGAAGAAATAACATTTGCAGTGTAGTAAGATGTTGTGAATTTCTAGAAGTTGCCAAGACTTTGCATGTACTGTGTATGCTCCATCACTGATGTTGGATATTGGGAAATTATGCATTAAAAAAAATAAGAATAAATAACTAATTTGAGGACTTGTGGTCTAATTCCAATGCAGTGTTGTTTGTTTGTTTGCCAAATGTCTATGCCGACCATTTAAAGCCCTGGTCTGACAAATGTACTTGTGTTTTTACTGTCTGATACGTAGGTTGTTATAGCTACACTGCTTCATTTCTTCATTCACAATCACAACAATACAGTAGCAAAGTTGCACTTTCCACCTTTTACCAGCAGATGACTCTAACTGATGAGGACACAGTGTGCATACACTGGATCAACACCAGCATTTCACACCATTACATTGCTTGTTAAACAGAAGAATCATATTTGTACTAGAGGTAAATCCACTGTCTTGTAGGCTATCTTCAAAACACAAGCATGACACGACTACTATCGTGACGACGCAGAATTACAGTTGCGTTATTACATTATTGTAAGGTTTATTCAATTCACTAAAAGCTTTTTTTTTTAATGAGAAGTTTCCTGCCAGCATCAAATGTATTAGTTTCCTCAGTAATCATTTTAAAGTTGTCCGGCAGATGGCGAGGCACCCGGAGGTGACTCCAGGTTGGAAAATGAGCGCCCTCCTCCTGCTGCTCTGTCCTGGGAGGAAAGGATGCTGATGCTGACAGGAAAGCATGGAAACCAGCAGAGATTAAGACGCGCTTCCAAGATGTCCTTATTATAGTTGCGTTTGCCAGCGTTATGTGGCAGAAGACAGACAGTCGTGAGAAGCGGTGCTTACAGTGGTTTTTTAGACCAGGGGTTGTGATGTAAGAGCATCTGAAAACCGTTAGGGGATTTGGCGCTAATTAGAAAGATGAAGGCACGAGGAAAATCAAGTTTACACTCGACAGCCTCGGACTAAAAATAACAATTCATCCTTCTTCCGCCAAGTAATGTAGTTCTTTCAGACTAGCAAAACAAAGTTGTTGCTAAGCGACAACGAAGTATCCCAGCATGGGTGCCGGTTCGGGGCTCGCGCATTGATATTTAAATTAACTGTCAGGTGTGCGAAAAATGACAACGGTTTCAAAGGCGTGTCAGCCAATCAGCGCTGAGGACCGGGACTCGTTTTTTTCTCATAAACCTAAATAACCCACCACGCGAGTGTACAGATGGCGAAGTAGTGGTAGAAAGCTAGCTTGTCCAGCTGCTGTGTTTGTAGCCAAGAGGAGCTACAGTGGATTGATTTGATTTACCTGAACGCTTAAGATAACTCTTGTTTTACCCCCTGGCCGCTGGAGTCCCCCCCCCCACCTTTTATATTATAAGTGCCATTTTTCAACGATGACAGAGTTTTCGCAGGGGCGCGTTGATGGGAAACATCCGCTGTCACACAGACAATGCTGTATGGGCAGTGTATGGAGGTTATCTAAAGCCAGCCTATGTTTACGATGATGGGACCTCGGTCAGACACGGGAAAACAGCCAGGTAAACGAAGTTAACAAGTTAACCTTTGTAGCCTATGTATGTTTCTGTAGGAAGTCTGACTTTACTCACAGTGACTGTGGTGCTCATTTGTAAGTTAATTTATCTTGTTGTTGTCTGTCTGTTACTGTATCTCTGTGCCATAATATTGCAGTTCAAGGTGTTCTAAAGGGAACTGTATTTGTGAAACTCTTCCTTGACTTAATGTTGTGAAACTTCAATGATACTAATAAGCTTATGGTACAATTGTGTCTTGTATAATATGTTTTATACAATATGATATTAGCTTACAATATGGGAGGAATTGTGTCCTTCCTATCCCTTAGCTAGCTATTTGTAGTGTAGTGTAATCTGTGGTGGACTTCGTGGCAGATATTTGGTTGAAACTCTCTCGACCATTGACGTTTTTGAATTTAATCTGAAATATTCTTTCTTAATATATCTTTAACTTTTTACATATAGAAGTAGTTTTTTAGGCTTTTTGTTGTCACTAACAAACTTTTTTTTTTTTATTGTGACCGTGTTTTAGAGATGAACCTTGTCCAAATGACACATTTCCTTTTCTGTAACCATAAGGAAAACTTACTGTTCAGATTAAAAGTTTAATATTCAGAATGTACATAAGGTTTAGATACGGCTGATAATCTTTGTATCTCATCTAGTAAGTGTGACATCTAACTTGAGTCTTTCGTAATAGATAGTTTTGAAGAAGATTGCGGATTGTCACAGACCTCATATGCCCGTTAGTTAGTTTTTTGTATTCTAACTCTGGGTCCTCTCATATGTTTTTTCTTGGGACCATTTTATCTCTGCCCTGCATGGATTTTTCCTCGGCCCATCTGCTTTCTTTGGTGGGAATCTGCAGTATTCTCTCCATTAAATGCAGACAGTCTCTTACCAGGAGCAACTCTTTTCCATTATTATTGTGGTCACTTTGCCTCATCCATTAAGTCGGCTCTCAATGGTTGCAGATTTCTTTAATAGAGGACAAGGAGCGTTTTACTCACATGGTTGACTTACAGCCATCATCTTTTTCATCCGGTTCTCCTTAATTTCTCCTTTCCCCTAAAGTAAAGTACACAATGAGGACAATGTGTTCTTTACTCTTCTTCTCCTCTCCTTTCCTCACTAGCACACACATTTTTTAAATTTCCCCACTCTCTCTCTCTCTCTCTCTCTCTCTCTCTCTCCTCTGTCTGTGCTTCTGAGGGTCGTTGCTTTCACTGTTAATCAGGGAGAGCATGTCTCTGGGTGCTATTAGCCCACTCAAGGCTGCCCACACTGTACTATGATGACCACACACACACACACACAAATACACAGCTCTGTATTACCCACTTATTTTTCCCTCTGTAGAAGCTCAAGAGGGAAATCAAAGCAATCTCAACATGATAGATAAACCATGTTTTTGAACATGTAAGCCATCTATGAAATAAGCTGAGCATTGATTCACTCAAGTAAAAACACACACACATGAATGGAGCCCACCATGTACAGCCAGGAAGAACATGCATTCATGTATTGTACATCCATTGGGTGCAGAAGGAAAATGTCAGTGTTCTATTTCTGAAATAATTTTCCTATCCCTTTGTTGCTTTCTGAGCAGAAAATGGGTTTAACACCACCTTGATAAGGGGTATCCCTCCTCAGCATGGCTGCACACATTAAAACCCGTACTAGAGGGTGCCTTCAATAAACACAGAGGTAGGTAATAGCTGACTGACCTGAAATGCTACTTAACACTTTATGAGAATATATGCTATGAATAATAAAACACACAAACATCAATTGGGTATGTGTGAGCACATTAATAATGAACTGCACACTTGCATTAAAGTGTGTCGGTGTAATCCCGTTCTGTTTTTAAAGAGCTGCGCATTTTAGGGGTCTTGCTGAACTGAGCAGAGTTAAGCTGCGACACAGGAAGCGAATGTAATCACATTACATCCTCGTTGAGTTTTAAAGAGGTGAATTTTAATAAGTTGCTCTTAAACTCTCCTGGTCTTTCTTCTGCCTCCCTCTGCCCTCACCTTTCTTTCTCTCGCTCTCTCATTCGTCACTCAAATCCCCCACAAGAGGCAGCCATGAGCCATCCACGCCGATCATCGAGTTCCCATGGTGACAGGTAATCTCCTGAAGCACTTCATTCCCCTACATGTGACATTGAGTGACACAGTGGGAACACAAATACACAGGCGCGCCAGTATGTAGCTAATACTGTATGCACAAGAAACACACATGCACACTGTTATGTTGAAGTAGCTGGGTTGTATTTTCATATTTGTTTCTACAGTAAACTATTCGTTTAGTGAAATGTCAGTTTTTCTCTTTGAATAATGCACGAGAATATGTTCATTTTATTTTGTTTCATAATACATGATGCGTGTAAAATAGGACAGTTGCATCAAATCATCTGGTTCAGACTTTAATGCATGACTTGATTTGACTCAGAATCAGGTCCACGTTTAGAATTCCCTTCCACAAATCAAATCATTTATGTTAAACCTAATGTAAATGTTTGCTCAGCAGTGTTTGACACTGTAGACAGAACAGCTTAGGAGTTAGGCTAGAATGTTCATTCAAGTGTTTGTAGTGCTGAGATATGACCCACAGTGGAAATTATCGTTTGCTCTCACTACATCATCCTCAGTAAAGGCATGCCATGTTTACTTGGAATCCGTATTCATAGAACAGATTTTAAAAATGGGCCTTTTTTTCCTTGCTGTAGTTTTACTGTTTTTCAATTTAGTCCCAAATGAATAAATTGGCATCTGTGGAACATACAGTCCCTCTGAACATTGATTGTTTTGATTGCGAACAGACTGTTTTTATAATACAGCACTGTTTCTTCCTACTGATTTCCCATAACAATAAATCTCCTCCCCAGTACTGGACTTCTCAATCACTGCCTTATGTTCACCGTACGCCTTATTGTATCTGTTAATGTGCACTGAAATGTCCCCACTGTAATGTGACAGGCTTTCTTAGCAGAATTGTGCTAAACCTTGATGAATGAATGCTGCTCTCCTACTTGCCCTGCAGGTCATCCACCGAGACCCTTCAGAAGAACAACAGCAGCAACTCTGGCGTTATTCTGGACATCTCGGCTCTCAAGATGGCGGAGGTGGATACGGAGGTGCCCCCTCTTCCACCTCGCTATCGCTTCAGGGATTTGCTGCTGGGGGACCAGACATTTCAGAATGATGACAGGTAGCATGAAAAACACTGGTAGTATATCTACCAAAGTATATAATAGGCTGCCCAGGGATATTCCTGGAGGGGTTTGTGTGTGTATGTGTGTGTGCCTACATCTACTTTATGTTCAAAATTACACTGTTTTTGACAGTTTGGTATTACACACATTTCAGGAGTTAGTTTGTGCTGAGTGTATATTGCTGTACCCTCTTTACCTCGAGCCACCTCATCTACTTCTGCTTCAGTTACTGTTTTCCTACATTTCCCAGCATGATTCCTCACGACAACCCCCTAGAGATGTGGCGGAACTTGTATTGGCTGCTGTTGGTTTTATGTGTAGGTGGATACAGAATTGAAATAGAAACAGTGGAGTGAGAGGTTTTGTAGTGAAAAAGTAAAGAGTCTTGCCACTTGCTCAGACCTTGTGGCTGCATGGCACTGGGCTATTTCAGTGACTGTCAGCAGAGAAATAATTGGTTTGTCTGCCTCTTTTAATGATGAATTTGACCTTGTTTAATTGTGACATAGGTGCAATTTAGAAAAAAAAGCCCCTGCACACACAATTTTAAGGGGTTGGCACCAGAACAGGTGCTGTATGTGGCCAGTTATCCACAGAAATAAGAAAAACACACAGAAGTATTAGAAAGTAGTTTAGAAATGCTTTGTTGCTTTATTAGATTTATTTTTTAATCAGATTATAGTTGGCTTGAGATAACTGAGCATGAAATAGCACGTCCCTTGGCCCTTGACTGGTGCCACAGTCACTAGAGCGCTGGAGTGTTTTGGAGTCTCCTAAGAGTTCAATTATTGCTGCGGTTGGAGAGGCAGACCAACAGATGCTGTTTGCTGCCCAAGAGGGGAGGAATTAGTCAAGCATCAGCCATGGCTGAGTACTGTGGCGCTCTCCATGGTCCTGAAATGAAGCCGTCTCACTAAAGTATCAGCAGTCACTTCACTATGGGCTTGCAAAGGGCAAATGGAAAGCTCTGCTTTATAGTTTTCCTGTGGCTTTGTCAGTAACTTCAAATCCAAAGTTAACATTAGGGCTTCAACTAACGATTATTTTCCTTATCGGTTAACCTGGCGATCATTTTCTCGATTCATCAATTAGTTGTTTGGTCCAAAAATGTCAGAACATGGTGAAAATTGTTAATCACTGTTTCCAAAAGCCAAATATGACATCTTCAAGTGTCTTGTTTTGTCCTCCACCCAAGGATATTTAGTATACTGTCACAGAGGACTAAAGAAACCAGAAAATATTCACATTTGAAAACTAAACTCCTTTTTTAAAAATGGCTCAAAATAATGAATCAGTTAGGAAAAAGGCTGGAGGGTTTTTTTTCATATCAGACACAATTTATTTATAATCAGACTGTTGTTCATTAACCAAGACAGTCGCCTCTAGGAGCGATGTTAGTTAGTTTCTTTTGAAAGAAACTGAAGAAAGATAAAGGGAAAGGCAGTGGTCTTGCCTCAACTGAAAGGGTCAGTTCACTCCCAAAAAAAGCTACAGTTGCCTCTAGTTTTATCTAACCATGCAGATACTGTAGTTGTTTCCATCCGGGAAACGTCCACCTCCCAAGCCGTCCTATTGTTTTCTTTGTATTGTTGAGAACCCTGATTCATGTAACACAGCCGTGATCCGACAGTATTACTACCCCTGTCTTTCGAACCTAGCTCAGTGTCTTACTCAGAAAATGAGGGTTACATTACTGAATAAATATTTTATTTCATTGTTTGTTTGCATAGTTGTTCCGGCCTATAACCGTATCGTTGATTTATAATTCGATCGATGATTGAATCTGACAGACGGCACATTGTCTGCATTATCTCTGGACACCAGGCTCTTGGTTGTCCTGAGCAACAGCCATGTTTCAGCAATGAGTCAATAACCTTCTGTGAATGGCTTTTGTGTTTTGCAATTAGCTCCCTTGATCTATATCTTGTACAAATGGACAGTAAATGTACCACTTGTGAAATTTTATTTTATTTTCAACACGAGTTTTCTATGAGAGTAAATGTATGACATTCAGTTTTACCACCATCCTCTCTTTAGCTACCTCTGTATTTCTGTTCACTCTCACTGTCTCTGGGGTCCCCTGCTGTATATTGCTGTCATTATGTTTTATATCAATGCAAGACCTTTTGTCCACACATAACATTTAGAACAGAGATCCAGTATTTGACCATCCCCCCAACACACTGGTCTCTGTGCTTTCCCAACGGATGCAGTGATTTCTCAGTATTTGATTACAAAGGTTTATGGCTTTGTGTTTTTTTTTAGCTGAATGCCACTTCAACTATGAGTATTATTGACATAAAAGATCATGAATGGTTTGAGCTGATTAAGACAAATAAAGCAACACTGGCTTATAGTATAGATTACACTAAATATTAATTACATGGAAATAACAGTCAACATGCAGTAACATGAAGTTTATCTTTTAACAGACTATTATGACTGAGAGGCTTTAATACAGCTCTCAGCTTGCTTGATAATGCCTTGCATGTATGTGTGCATGTAGTTGTGTGTGTTTGTGTGCATGTTTCATCCAGAATTTCCCCTGTGAATTGTTCTGCTGATCACTATTCAATTGCAAAGGGTAATTAGGGTTTGTTGCTGGGCTACCGACGTGTGCGTGCAAATGCTAGGTCTTGTCACAAACTCACAGATCCTAGCATTTAAAACACACCAGCTTTTGTTTCTTCAAAATAAATAACAGCTGTAAACGTCAGCTTCTCACACACCTCTGCACATTGTGCGTTAGGCAGTGAATGAAGATGCACAAGAAGAAAACGCCATTATTGTTAGCATTTTATGGCGCTGCTCTGTAATTGCTAGTTTCCGAGCTCTGGAGTGGAAACAGGAGCAGACTCTGTCACTGGGCTTCGGGGATGCTCCATTTCTCGGTTGATGATCTTGTATATGCTTATGGATTGTAATGTTCATTATTCCCTGTGCTTATGCCTTGTCAAGTGTAAAGCCTCTAAACAAATTAACCCCCTAGAGGGAGAGTCAAACCCCCCCCCCCTTCTACCCTGATGGCCTTTTGCATCTATTCTATCTGTCACAGTGGGCTATGAGAGTAAAAGGCAGTAGGGTTGAAGGACTCAGGCTGTGTTATCTCAGTCAATATCATACCATCACTAGAAGGGAGTCTTGTAAGGCAGCGACAAGATGCTGTGACAGGTTGTAACAAAGACAGTTTTATCAGGTTGACTAAAGCAAATTTACAATGGAGTGGCGTGTGCCCTGTTACCACTGTACACAAATTTGTTTGGAACGGAAAAGTCACATTTGAACTAGGAAGGAGCTCATTTACAGCAGCGCATCCTGACATCTTTTTTTTGTTTTCACTTCCACAAAGGAGTGGGTGATATGGATATCTAATTGTATATTGTAGTTTTGTAATATATTGGATTTAAAAAAAAAAAACAATTGATAAACTGTGTATAGATCAAACACATTGAGGTATTTCATGACCCTTATTTCCATTAAGTTGTCCTGCTCATTGACTTGCAACATCGCCCACAATGATCTATTACAGTGTCTCACAACTTTTTTACTTGTTTTCTGCTTGAGATAGTCCCACATCACAGGATGCAAGCAGTTTGATTGAAGGGTAATGTTCCGCTTTCTTGAGAGTTGTTCCGATACCGATACTAATACCTGTCTCAGAAAGCACTCTGATACTGCCTAAAATGTCTTTATCTAAGACCCTGTATTTTATTAACCACAAAACGGGACCCTGCAACTACCCAGCAGCATCCATTTCTGACTGTTCTTATGCCTGCATACTGGAATTAGGTTTTTGGGTTCTCCGTCTTATCCGTCCAATTCTTGACAAACAAGTTTTTGGTCATAACTCAAGAAATTAATGTGGTAATTATAACACAATTTCACACAGATGTTTAATGGGATAGAACAATTAAATTCTGATTGTTTACCCAAAAGGTCAAAGGTTAACGTCACTGTGACATCCTGATGTCCTGGAAAAACACTTTTTTGTCCATTCAACACCATAACTCAGGAACAGAAGGGGGGGTTGGGCCATATTTCACAGTTGGTTGGACACTGAATTGGTGACACTTGACTCAAAGGTCCCCATGACCTAAAAAATAGCTTTTTAGCCATAGTTTAAGAATGAATTGGGCGATTCCAGATTTCACACATATTTTGACTGGAATGACACAATGAGTAAACAACAAGTAGCACATTACAGGCTTTCATCTTTCCATCTTATCTATTCTTGCCATTCTGAATTTCAAGTGTCATCAGAATCACATGACTGCAAACAGCGTATTGCACCTATCTAATGCTGATCCTGTAAGTGAGTGAGTGAGTTTCACCAACAGTTCACAGAGAGCCTAAAAAAAGAGATCTAAAAATGCCAGGAGAAAATAAAAGCACCACAGTTTATATAGCTATTAACTATAAGAATCCATTTTTACATAGTAATCAAGTACATGTGTGATGTTTATTCACGGGAATCATACGTATCTATAGTGATAACTTCAATTTTGCTAAAAAATACACTTCTTTTTTAGTTCCTTCCAAGTATTCACCATCACCACATAGACCAGAGGACTTTAAATTTTGCAGTATTTCACAAGAAAGAAGCACAGATTAAAGTTCCTGCCATAGCAATGATCCGCTTTGAAGGGGAACTTGGCAACTCTAGCCATTTCTTCGCTGGTTTTCACTTTTGTCGTTGCATGTTTTCTCAACGAGCTCCCCTACAGCTCTGGGACGTATCTTTCAAAACACTGTCATAAAAAAACCACTTGCGGCACCCTCCTCTCCCTTTCTACCGCTGCTGATGTGCATTTGTTGCCGGGCAACTATTTCGTGTGGAGCAATGTCTACCGAGGTGGGTAATACATTCATCGTTGCTCATTCTCGCTTCTTACGATACTTCCTATTTCCAACTTAACGGGACGGTAGTCCCAAAGTTGCAAGGTTGGTTTTCTGCCTGGGGACGCTAGGGGGAGCGGGGAAAGTCACCATTTTCACC